AATTTTGGAATCTCGTTTGCTCTGAAATTGAGGTTCGTTTTCTGTGCGTAAAAATTGAGGCTGTGCGCACTGCTTATGTTCATATGTGTGTTGTGACTCAATGTGTGTGAGTTTTTTCTTTATCCTTTTGTTTTCGTGCATATAAGGCCTGAGGTTCTTGGCCCAATGGACTCCCTATAAAAAGTACGACCCGATCCGAAGCCCTTTCGTTACTCTCTTGAGTCTTGACCCTTCTAATCTTTCCCCGCTGCTCAGTCGTCTTCGAGCTGTGATTCGTTAACCACCTTATTATCGATCAACCCAGGTGTGATATATATGTTGAAGTGATTTCTTAGTTTTTTTGGATCGTCTTTATTGGTAACTGATGTTGTTAATTGGCAAATAGTTATGAATTTGCGGTGATACATAAATTGTTCGATTCATTTTTTTTCCTTGTGACTCATGTTTTTTTACTGTGTATATGATGTTGCTCATTGGTTTGTTGTCTGATTCGTTAATGTCTCGTGTTTTTTTTCCTTGGATTTTTGCGTTTTTCCTCTAGTTGGCAAATTAGCCTCTAATGGCTTGCTGCCCTAGTCGAAATGCCCTTCTATCTCTCTCTCTCAATGGGAAATTCGTAGCTATATGAAATTTAGTAGATTGGAGATAAAGAGAAATACAATTTTCTCGATTTCCTGATTAAAAGGGGTAGCTATTAATGTACATTTCAGAGTTTCAGATGGGCAACTTACAGTTGAAGCTGAGTTGCCCCTGTTCTTCATCCATATAGACTTTTTCTGGTGGTTTTACCCTCTCAGTTATTTTTGTTTAAGCCACCAGTAATCTTTAGGTGTGGATATAATTGTAAGTATTCACATTTGCATCTTTTTCTTAAATAGAGAACCGGGTTCTCCTGCTTTTGTTATTCGTAAGTCAACTAAAAAGTAAATGTTGATGGATCAAAATAACCATTAAGCAACTAAAAAATAAATGTATATCAACAAAATAAAAAAAAAACTGAATACTGGATTAGAATAAACTACAAAGCAACTTATGTACATCATCACAAAAACCCATAAATATTGAAATTTTTAATATGAAAAATATATAAATATAATAATTGAAAAAAAAAATATGAAACACTTTGTAAACAAATTTTACACACACAAAAAAAAAAAAATTGAAAAATAATCAGTTTGAGATAGTTCAAGTTATTCCCAATTTTTTTTTTTTTAAAAAAAGTGAATATCGAAAAGGAATGTTCTTCAATATAATTTTTAAGTTGAATTATGCATATTTTGAAAATGTTCATATTTCTTCTTTTAGTTTCCAACGTTGAATAACTCTTATCATTTATGTAATCATTTTATAAGTTATTTTGTTTATTCTTATCTTTTTTGCAGGCTAAATTGTTTTACTTTTTTTCTTTTCATAAATGTTTTTTTTTTGTTTTTATTGCTTGGGATTCAATTATTAAGAAAAACAAATAAATTACTAGTAATATTGGATAGAAGTAATAATTAATAGGCGGTTAATAAAGAGAGATAGTGGTTATTGGAGAGATAAAGTTATTGTCATTCAATAAACATAGTTGTCAATCGGTTACTTTTTTTTGAAAAGTGTATATTAGACTAGGGGTGGTATCGGTTCGGTTACC